TATTTTTCTATAGCCAGTACCTGCGCGGTTAACTCTGCAAGCAAAGCCGCCATATAGCCTGTGCCAGCACCAACCAGCAAGGCTTTGTCGCTCTTTTGGGCTTGGGCTTCTTGTATTAAACGTGCTTGCAGCATGGGGGTGAGCATGACTTGACCGTGACCCAGCGAAATTTCTAGTTCTGCATAAGACAAGTAACGGTGTGCAGGTGGAACAAAGGCTGCACGGTCTATGCGGCCTAAGGCGCTGAGTAAGCGAGGGTTGAGTACGTTATACGGCCGCACTTGTTGCTCTATCATATTAAGGCGGCTTTGCTGCATGATGTCTGTGGTGATGTGCTGCATAATTTATATTTTGGTGACAATGGCGATATGGGTGTTCATTCAGATGGTATTTTAATCTGAAGTCAGCTATTTGTGAGAAACGGCTATTCAATACGGTTTTTAACTCCAATTTATTACTATTTCAGCGCACAAGCCGTAAAATAGAGCCACAATTTGCCAAAAACATTAAAAACTGGAAAAGGAACACGATTATGTCATATCAAGAAAAATTGACCCAAGTATTGCCTCAACTACAAGCGCAGATGCTTGCTCGCAAAGCGCAATTGATTGAAGAGCTGCGTGCGCAAAGAGCAGGCGCTGCTGTAAGCCATGAGCATCCCGAGCCGGGTGACGGTGAAGCGGTCATGGATTTGGAAAACGATTTAGAAATTGCCGAATATGAGCGCGACCAAAATGAGCTAAATTTAATTATCGCTGCCTTGGCGCGCATACAAGCTGGTGACTATGGCTATTGCACTGATTGCGGTGCAGACATAGGGATAGCCCGCTTGGAAGCCACACCGTATGCACCGCGGTGTATCCATTGCCAGGAAAAAATTGAGCGGCAGTAAACGGATGGATTATGAACAAAGCGAATAACAATAAAGGACAAAAAAAATACAGCCAAACAACTAATGCACCGTCTACTTCCTCTGGAGCTATTGACGAGAATAGTCAACAGAATACTTTTCAAGACTATTTACTATTGTGCATGGTTATAGCGGGATTGCAGTTGGTGTTGGTGCTGACCTCCAGGCAAATCCATGTTCAGCTGCCCGCCACGGGGTGGATTAACGAGGGATTTCGTTGGCTCACTTATGTAAGTCACATGACTGCTGCTGGAGTATTGTTGGTAACTTTTATTGATTGGGTTCTGAAGCGTCTAAAATGGGCATACCGCGCGGTCATGTTTTATTGCTGCGTTCAAACTGTGATGGTTGCCTATTCAGCATTTGCCCTGGCCTGTACTTTGTTTTACTACACTAAGGGCAATGCTGGCTATGTACTTATGCGCGATGGCACTCTGCTCTGGCTAGCCAATTGGCTGTTGTTTGCTTTATGGTATTGGGTTTTGGATTTGGATAATCCCATGCTGCGCACGCCCAGGCATTTGATGCGTCGAAAACGCGAAAATGCAGCTTTTGCGCTCAATACCACCCAAAAGCAGGCAACAAGCACCAGCACTGCAACGAGTCAAGGAAACAAATTTTCTAGTAAAAACTTCACATTCCCAGCCCAAAACTATAAGCCCGATGAATGGCGGCCAAACATGTTTGATTATCTCTACATGGCATTTACATTTTCTACCGAAATGGGCCCATCTGACTCTGCTGCGCTCTCACGACCGGCCAAACTTCTCCTTATGATACAAATTTGTATTACGCTAGTTTGTGTCGCTTTGGTTATTTCCCGTGCCGTGGGGTTTTCTATCAATGGCTAGAGGCTATTTAGAATCAACAGGAGTGAGTACAGAGATGCCCCCCATATAGGGGCGCAGCACGGGTGGCACGGTAATCGAACCATCGGCGTTTTGGTAGTTTTCCATAACCGCTACTAACGTGCGCCCTACAGCCAGACCAGAGCCATTAAGGGTATGTACCCATTCATTTTTACCTTGCGCATTTTTAAAGCGCACTTGCAGGCGCCGCGCTTGAAAAGCCTCACAGTTTGAGATGGAGCTTATTTCGCGGTAGCAGTTTTGCCCCGGCAACCAAACCTCCAAGTCATACGTTTTGGCTGCCCCAAACCCCATATCTCCCGTACACAATAACACCATACGATAGGGCAAACCCAGCTTGCGCAAAATGTCTTGCGCATGCTCGCACATTTGCTCCAGCGCTTCGTAGCTGCGATCGGGATGGGTGATTTGCACCATTTCTACTTTATCAAACTGGTGTTGGCGTATAAGGCCACGCGTGTCGCGTCCTGCGCTGCCAGCTTCAGAGCGATAGCAGCTGGTGTGGGCCGTTAGCCGCATGGGCAAATCAGACTCTGCCAATATTTGGTCTGCCACCAGGTTGGTTAAAGGGACTTCGCTGGTAGGTATCAAGTACAAAGGCAATTGCTCCTCATCGCCTTGATGCCCCCCTTTTTTGGCAGCAAATAAATCGGCTTCAAATTTGGGCAATTGGCCGGTGCCAAAGAGTGCCTGCGCTGTCACGATGCTGGGCACGTAACACTCGGTATAGCCGTTTTGCTGCGTTTGGGTATCTAGCATAAACTGCGCCAAAGCCCTTTGCAAGCGCGCCAAAGGGCCTTTCATGACGGCAAACCGGCTCCCAGACATGCGCGCTGCCGCCTCAAAATCCAAGCCCAAGTTTTCGCCCAAAGCCACGTGGTCTTTGGCTACAAAAGCCAAAGCTTGGGCATTGCCGCCCAAGCCAGATTGGGGGCTCCAGCGCAGTACTTCAGGGTTGTCGCTTTCATCCTTACCCACCGGTACGCTTTCATGGGGTAAATTGGGAATGCCAGCCAAAAGCTGCTGCATCTCGTTTTGTATGCCCTCTAGCTGCGCAGCAGAGGAGTCTAGTTCTATTTTGATTTGTGCTACTTGCTGCATGGCCGAGTCTGCGCTCTCACCTTTGGCTTTGAGCTGACCTATGTCTTTGGACAGGCTGTTTCGCTGGGCTTGCAGCGTTTCGGTTTTGCTTTGGATGGTTTTGCGTTGCGCTTCCAGCCGCTCAAATGCTGCAACATCTAGTATATCTTCTCCCCCTTTGCGGGTGGCCAAGCGTGCACGCACTTGGGGCAAGTCTTTGCGTAATAATTGAATGTCTAACATGCGGTTAATTGTAACAAAAGGGTTGCGCAGAACACACCATTTATGGCTTTAGCCGCGAATTTTATAGCCCGTTTTTAGCAAATACAGCGTAAAGGCGCTCACTACAATAAAAGTGGTGCCTACCACCCCTAGACTTAGCCAAGGAGAAACGTCGCTGACGCCAAAAAAGCCGTAGCGAAAGCCATCTATCATATAAAAAAATGGGTTGAAGTGGCTTAGGGTTTGCCAAAATGGCGGCAGACTGTGTATGGAATAAAAAGTGCCCGCCAAAA